TATACACCACAGATAATATAATGCACTACTTTAGAACATAGTAAAATCACCAAAACAGATGTAACCACTTTATACAACAGGCATACCCAAAACAACCCACACTGTGATGTTGAATTATACCATTAGTTTCTGGACAAGCATGGTTTCTTTTTAATTGTCTATTCCCTGCGTTTTCTAGATAATCAAACAATCCAATCCAACCGGTGCAGCACCTATGACTACATAGAATTAATTAAACAGTATATTTGATAACAACAACAACAAAAACTTGGGTTTTGTATCATGATGATAATCACCACATAGCATACATTTAAAAATTAAAGTTGTCTCTTGTCAATCATTCTTAAACCATAGTGGGCTGCAAATTACAAACATCATAACACACATTTTCTTTACTATATTTGCGAGGATATATCCATTGTTTTTATATCAGTTGAATGTTTTATATTGACTAACTTGATCCCTACATTTTTGGCAAAACAGTAATAATAATTTGGCCAATTTATAAGCCACTTTAACTTTAGAGACCAAGCTATTCAGACTATTCAGTGTTTAACAGGTTTCTGTATTTTACCAAGTACATTTTTGAGAAGTGAGGCCATTTGACTTCACAAGCATAGTCAAACCAATACACACACAAAACTCCATGAGAATAAATCAATTTTAAATAAACTTTAAAATGAAAACAAGTAATACACTCACTTATTTTTCTAATTAAAATATACTTCTTTTTGGTCTACAAATGTGGCAAGATCCTTAGTGAGATATAAAATTAAATGAATTGAAATGAAATAATAGCTTGTCAAATGTCAGATTTAAATCAGTACCATGCTACTGAGCCAAATGTTTATGTTAAGGAATGTCGTACAAGCAATTTTAGAATTTTTATTATATTTTTAAATGTTGTAAAGTTGTGTGTGAATTCTTATATTTTTGTCTTATTTGTAGCTGTTGCTGGTGAACCTGGTATTCCAGGTGCCCCAGGTGAACCTGGCCCCCCCGGCCCATCTGGCCCACCAGGAATGCCTGGAAAGAATGGTGTTGGACACACCGGTCCGGTTGGTCCACCTGGACCACCAGGCCCAGCAGGATACTCCTCACCTGGTAAACCTGGAAGTCCAGGTTTATCTGGAAAACCAGGTTCACCTGGATATCCAGGCGAGAAGGGACAACCAGGGCCTGCAGGACCTCAAGGTGCAAGAGGAGTGCCAGGATCCCCTGGAAGCCCTGGACCTGCTGGCCTATCTTCTGCTGGAAAGCCTGGACCACACGGTCTTCCAGGAGCAATGGGCCCACGTGGAGAAACTGGCTTAAAGGGTCATCCTGGAATTCCTGGACTGCCAGGCCAGAAAGGAGAACCTGGCCACGGTATTCCAGGGGGACCTGGTAGCCCAGGTCCAATGGGCCCTATGGGTCCTTCTGGTCAGCCCGGTCAGCCTGGAATTGGAAAACCAGGACCAAGTGGATTCCCTGGAGAGCCTGGAAAGTCAGGAATGCCAGGTAGAGATGGGTCACCAGGTCCTATGGGCATTCCAGGCCCAAAGGGTCATACAGGAGCACCTGGAATAGGAGCACCAGGAAAACCAGGCCAGAACGGCGCTCCAGGAATGCCCGGGTCAATGGGACAAAAAGGTCCTCAAGGACCAGCAGGACAGCCAGGGGCTCCAGGTATTCCAGGTATTGGCAAACCTGGATCACCTGGACTGCCAGGAGATCGTGGAGTGCCAGGAACCTCGGGTACAACAGGCCAAAAGGGAGAACCAGGGCCAATGGGTCACACAGGTCATCCAGGTGCTATTGGCCCAATTGGTCAAGCTGGTCCTCAAGGTTCCAGGGGATTCCAAGGAGAAGCAGGTCCACAGGGAGCTAAAGGTGACATTGGTATGGTTGGGGCACCAGGCCAAAGAGGTGCAAAGGGTGAGCAAGGGGCACAAGGCTTCTCGGGGAAACCTGGTATTCCAGGTGCAGCAGGTCCTCCAGGCCCAATGGGCCATATGGGACATCAAGGTTCTAAGGGCGAACCAGGATTTACCGGTGCTCCAGGTATCCCCGGTAGCAAGGGGCCACCAGGTGATAAGGGACATCCAGGACTTCAGGGGCAACCAGGTGGAAGGGGTGAAAATGGTATCCCTGGAGCAAGAGGAGCAACAGGTCCAGTAGGACCTTCTGGTCCACCAGGGCTTAAGGGTCACCCAGGACTTCCAGGCCCCCCTGGCCCTGCAGGGCTCACATCCAAGGGAATTTCTGGACCTCAGGGTCCTCCTGGTGTCCCTGGTGCCAGGGGTCATGATGGTCACCCGGGTAAACCAGGACCTCCTGGGGCACCTGGCCCCCCAGGTGAGATTGTTTACCACCACGAGAAAAGCATGCCAATTAAATCCCACGAGATGGTAATGCCTGTTAGTCACGAGGTGATGAAGGCACCCATGTCAGCATTCACAGCTCTTCTTACCACAGCTTATCCTAATGCTGGAACACCAATTGCATTCAACCAAATTGTATACAATGGAGAGAACCACTATGATCCTAACACTGGCATATTCACCTGTCAGGTTCCAGGACTTTACTACTTTTCTTTCCATATGCATGTCAATGGAGCAAATGCATTGGTAGCACTTTACAAGAACAGCGAGCCAGTCATGTTCTCTTACGATGAGTACAACAAAGGTTTCCTTGACCAGATGTCTGGCAGTTCTGTCCTCATGCTGGATTCCCATGACACAGTGTACATCCAGGTTCCCGATGACCAGTCCAATGGCATTTATGCTGATGAAAATGTTCACTGTTCTTTCTCTGGCTTCTTGATTGCCACAACGTGATAAACTCACTCAAGAAAACCTCAATCTTTCTAATTCAAAAAGTGTCTGCATTTATACTCATTTTCATGTTTCCCTGAGATAATGTCATGCAGAGTAGAAAATGAAGACTGATTTAGAAATATTGTCTGTAGCTTGTTGATCTAAAGAAGACCTTGTATGAAAATATTTTGATGATGTCAATGATTAAGGAACACCAATAAAAATTATCCAAGAAATTAGAAAACAGACCTATTGCATTTGCCAAGAACCTGAAGTGATGGTCATGTATTGAATTTGGCTATGTGTATGACTTTTTCCTGAGCCCACATTTTAGCATAAGTTTCCTGTGTTGAGTATGCTTTGAAGACACATACTCTTTAAGACAAATTAAGTGAGCCAGGTTTTGAATTAAATGGATTTCAAAGTGAATAATTATGAGTCATTGTTTTTTTCCTTTTAACACTGTAATGTCACAAGGTGTGCATCATTATAATCAACACAAATAAAGTTTCAGTGCCAGTGTTGCTGTTTGTGTTTGACTGCAGCAAGGTTAAAGTTTTCACAAAGAAAGTGCTACGGTGGCCGAGAGAGCTCACCGCGCTGCAACCTGATGAAGACGAACGCAAATACAAAAAAACGTGTGCAACTATAAAAACGCGTGCAAATACAAAAAAACATCCGCAAATTAAGAAAAACATCTTCATCAGTTCCACAACACACGTGTGATCCAAGTACTCACAACACCACCAAATACAGAAACGCGCTGCAAATAACACGGTCCACAACGGAAATGTTTCCGGGGAACCAAATAAGTGACGGACCCGACTGGAAACACAGGACGTGCTTACAGTAAAAAACCTTTATTGACAAGAATCAAAGCCTATATTTTTTTTATAAATAAACTATACTATTAAAATAATATTGTATATATAAATAATATTATACTATTATATTTTTTTATAGTTCGTCTATACTCCTTGCTTACTCACAATTCTACTTTGTTTTATTTCATTTCTTTTGACTTTTCCCCCGCAAAACACCGAGATTCAAATTATTATGACATACAACTTGTGTACAATATACAACATGTGTTAACAATATGTTCAATGTCATCACAATACAAAAATGAGAAAAGAACAATGATCTGAAAACTAAACTAAATAAATAAAAAAAGATCTAGAAGAACATGAAGGCAAGATATTAATCTATACATCAATTACACTATACAAATAGTTTCATTTTATGTTTAAATTTTCATAAGAAAAGTTTCCTAAAAATGTTAGGTAATGTAAGGCACTGACATACAGATATATAAAACGGATATTTTAACAGATTTTTATAAAGTAAAAATAAAAAATAAATTATTTATTTGCAACCGTTATGTTAATCATTATATTTCTGTCGTCAGAACAGCTATACAGCTGATGGACAAAGTGCTGTGTTGTTACGTTGTCTGTTGTTGCTCCCTTCATCAAGTTCCAAACGGCTACATAAATGACACACTAGGTGTCATGCTCACGCCAAATTCCCACTTGAAGAGCTTTGCCGTCTGCCCTTTGAAGGGAGTAGGGCATAGGGAAGCTCACGAGCAATAAGCAAGTCCCACTTGGGTCCGTCACTTATTTGGTTCCCCGGAAACATTTCCGTTGTGGACCGTGTTATTTGCAGCGCGTTTCTGTATTTGGTTGTGTTGTGAGTACTTGGAGCACACGTGTGTTGTGGAACTGATGAAAATTTGCGGATGTTTTTTTTTTTTGTATTTGCACGCGTTTTTATAGTTGCACACGTTTTTTTTTGTATTTGCATTCGTCTTCATCAGATTCCAGCTTGGTGAGCTCTCTCGGCCACCGTAAAGTGCTTACATTGACCTTATCTTTATACAAGATAAGCAACAATATTTTAGGCTAACTTCAATTTTTTATTCTGATAGCAAATAGAACCTATTATAATCAATGATGCTATCTACACTGGATGAGACGCAGACCAACATGACAAATTCCCAACTGTAAACTGATGCCCCGTTTTATTTCTGATAAACTTCAAGCGTTTGCACTACTTCTGACACAAGTATATGCAACGGTCGCTTCGTCACGTCTGGTGTAGACATGGTGTAAGACCTTTATAGATATTATACAATATCACAATTAAATTACACTTTAAAATGCTGATTACAAATAATAAGAGGGTATAAGAGAGTTTTTTCTACATACCCCGAAATGCAGATGTGTTGTAATTATGGTCAATTGCAGCAACAATGTCTTTCCACAAGTCAGATGTGATTTCGACTCCTTGCTAGGGTTAAAAATAAATAATAAAAAAAACAATTAATTAATTATAAATGAAAACATTAACGACCTACATTTTTGTTATACAATTTAACATTCACAATACAGCTAAATTAACAAATGCTGCTCCTAATTTGAAATAGAAATACAGCATTTTTGAAAAGCACAGAATTAATTAAATTAGTTTTACCTTATGCAACATATCCACCACTCTTGCACAAAGAAGGGCACCAGGGAGGTCAAAATAGTTGTCATAAAAATAGTATTTTGCTGCAACAAATGAGTGAACTATATCACATATTTAGGTAAAGAAAGACAGATATTTGAAAATATGATAAAACACTGAAAAACTGCAATTGATAATAAATAATAATAATACAATATACAGTATTATAAGCGAACTATTGTTATATTGTCATCAGAAATGATCAAATTAACTAGCTGAAAAAAAGCTGCCTTACCAGATCGTGTGTACGAGGTATTAAGGCTATTAAAATGCTTCCATTCTCTTTTTGGACCATAATGCTTTATGATCTCATCAGTACTCAGGTTTTTAGTGCCATGAGTTGCCCTACAAAAAAAAACGTGTTTAAAATAGATTAACAGCTTAATCTAAAGGGTTAGCATTTAGATATTTTAATAATACAAATTACCCCTTTTTTCTTTATAAAAAACAAGCTATAAAATGTACTGCTGAGTAATCATTCAAATACACAGGCCATATTTAAATTGACTCACCGCAAGACAGTGCCATCCTCTGCCAGCTTGACCAAGTTCCCCTCCTCAAGGTCCACCACAAGACCTTTAAAACTGGTCACATGACAACAGGAAACTATATTTGTGTACTAGAGAGGCAAACAAGCTCATACAAGGGTAACAACTTATTTGTTTGGAAACAAACAGCTTACTTAACCCTTATGCTGCATTAGGGACATTTTTGGTCTTTTGCAGTTTAATTTCTTTGACCATTTTGGCTGTTTTAATGCAAATGGTATGAAATTTGGCAAAATTGTGACTTTTTGGATACATGTAAAAAATGTGATCCCATTTTGCAAAATATGTATAACACACACTGTGTAGATCAAATAGTAACACTCAGCACCATAAAGACCAAAAATGGCCCATTGAAACCCATTAAAACGTTGTTTAAATCTGAGGCTGTCAGTAATACATGAAACATGATTTTTGCACAAACATCCTTTCATTTTGAAGCAAAAGCATTATATTTGCATTATATAGTGTATTCCACCAGATGACGTCACTACATATTTATTCCCTATGGGTGGAAATGCACCTTATTTTAGGCAATAGGCAATGTTTAATAGGTGGCCATTTTTGGTCTCTAACGCGCTAAGTGGGATTTTTTGCAAAGTGGGACCGTGATAATCCAAATCTAAAGTTTTCTCTTTGCATTTAGTTTATTGAAAATAATTGCATTTTTGTGTTTTTTCCTCTTATACAAATCGATGGTTTCGCCAACAAAACTGGTAATTAAAGGGTTAAAATCCTGAAATTGAATACATTTTTGGTAGTTATGATGAGGACTGATGCTGGTTAAAAGATTTAACTTGGTAAAAGTGGAAAATAATAATAATATATAATATTTTAGGCAATGTTTACGATGTGGCCCTTTTTGGTCCTTAATGCACTCAACGGTGTTAAAAATCTAATGCAGCACAAGGGTTAAACGACAAGATTATGGATATTAATACCCATTTCATACAATTTACAAGAATACCTGCTTGAAACAAGAATCAATTTGTTCGTATTTTAATTTTGAACATAAGCCATGTTCATTAAATTTCCAGTCTACACAGTTTAAATGGTGCTGACCATATGAAAAAAGGGCAAACGGTCATTATAAATTGTCATGATTCAGATCATTTTTTAGATCCTCTGACTTTCAGAATAAGAAATCACTAGGGGTCAAAAAGGTGAGACTGTTATCCATGAGGAAATACTTTACTGGGAAATTCTTGCTTGAGCATTCGGTCTATATAAGGGTCGCATCTTGTGATATCACGTCCTGTTTTTGGTTTGTTTACATGTCTTTGGTCCATCTTGCATTCATATTTCAGTCGAACCGCACCAAAGTTCGTCTGAAAGCATCGTCTTGTTTGGTGTGCTCCAGACCAGGGTTCAGATCGATGAGTTCACACTTATTCAAACGAACCGGACTAACAGAGCAATCGCACCAGGGTTTGTTTTAATCCAACCGGACATGACAAGTGTCAATTCACTGGTTCGTATTTGTTTTCATACATTTACAATAACATTACATAACTTACTTCATATTTTTATAATAACAAATATTCTTTTTAAAGCACTCACATTTTTTTTCTTCATGTAACAGTCTTAAGTGTAGTTAACATCCAGCTTTATGCTGCCGTTTAATGTATACATAGTATTTAGCATTTCCATATTCAAAATAATAATTAATAAAGTTATCAAAGAAAAAAAAAAAACCCTCATTGCTGAATACAGATGCACAATTTCATGTGGGATTTCCCCCTTTCTGCTCAATGTATCCCTGCCTCTGCTTAATTATTTTTAATAATTAAAAATTATTAAGGGGGGATAAATTTATCCCAAAGTGAGACCGATCAGAAAACTTATCATGGATCCGTGGTTTGATTAAAGTCAATTTTAGTTTTAAATGCGCTACTTTGACTGACTCTGATATAGCTGCCGCTCCGCACGAGTCTGCAGACTTGCTCAATGTCCTGATCTGATTGGTTACACCTCACGTATAATGGCCTATAAACACTTGCGAGATGGTTGCATGTCCACGCTCGGCTGTGAAGCTGTGTGTAAAAGGAAGTCAGCATTTTCAGAATAAACGTCACAATCTGATTATCTGTTTCTATGACAAGCAGAGCTAGTGTGCAAGTCACTGAGAATGGCCGATTTCAATGTTAAATCAATGTAAAGATGCGTTTCCGCGCATCTCTTTTCTTTCATTTTTAACATTAGCCTATTATTTTAACTTAATAGCAGCGGTAAAACTGTTTCTATGATGGTTTAACTTTGCAATCAATCCGTGGTTCAGGATAGGCTGATATAAATTAGCCTCACTCTATTAATCTATAAATTTAATTCTTGCATGTTTTTCGTTGTGCATGATCACAGTTCATATACATGTGTGGGAAGCTATTAGAGTAAAAATATTGTGTTAGGATACCTCATGAGTTAATAAGATTTTTTTTCCCTGCAAATGCAGTGATGAAGTTCATGTTCTCATGTTTCTGTATCCACAAGTTTCCGAGGGGCGCTCCTGTAAAAAATAAAGTGGGTGAAACTTCCGGTGACGCGGCGGAAGTAGCATTCCAATGGTATTTTGTGTGTTAGTTAGCGAAGAGGCTAGCTGTTTTTCGGAGAATTATTTTACTATTTAAAGACGCAAATCTTTATGAGAGATGTCGTTACGGAGCTCAGGGACAACATGTGCTGTTCGCGGTTGTATGTATAGCCGGACTAAACTAATTTAGTGGCTTAAACGTGATTGTTTTGAACATAAGCTGAAAACGAAATCAGAGTGATCCTCCCAGAGCCCGTCTCTGATCCTGCCAACGACTGTAGTTTCCATCACCTCCCAAAAGACGACGAATCTTCCTGTGTACATTTGTTTAAATTCTTAATATTCTATAAACTCTCTCAGCATGTGATTGGCTGTTCTCTACTGATGTTACACCTAAACTCAGGATCAAAGCCTGTGTTGACAGAATACCAAATGTGCCTACAGTTAATGTATTCAAGCAGCACATTCATTTATAATTTTGAATAAACTCCAAAGCACAATGACTAAGTGTGTATTTTTTATTTTAATTGTTTTTCAGCTCGCACAACTGTCTGTCACCATGCCTTGATGAGTATTGATTATTAATAATGTTATTATGATACTCCCAATCAACGACTGCGGAGGGTAAAGGTACTGTTATTTCACCCTTTTGAATTTCGTTGAGGTTGTGTTCCCACATTGTTATCTAGTTTGGATCGCTATAACTTGAATGACTGTCAACTGTTGAATGAACGAGTGTCAAGCATGTCAAGTTGCGCTTTGTTTACTTCCAACCGGAAGTCGCGCCCACTTTTGACGCAAGGCCTCATGGGGCGTAGGAAACTTGTGGATAAATTTCTGTGCGAATTTGTGAAAACGGTGACCACATCATCCGCATGCGTATTACGTGTTCAGTCTATACATAGTTCCCACAGGCAAAAAAAATTGTCACGTGACCTCCCCGGAGACGCCATCTTTGAGGGCAAAACCGCTGTGTTTACCATAGGCGTTTACAACGTTTTATCAGAGAATGTCGTTTTACAAACAAATATTTATGTCTGTTTATATTGTTATGCAAATCATGAAAAGACAAAGTGTAATAGATTATAAAGAGACTATTAAAACAAGACATAGAGAGGTACAATGCGAAAATTTCATTCATAATGTATCCTTATGCAACAAAAGAAGCACTGAGCACCGATTATGCAACTTTGCCTCAGATACAGTATTTTCATGTGTACAATTATCTGGTATTGGTGAGGAGTTTTTACACATGTGAGCAATTCCAAGCCTGGAAATCACTGGAGGTGTACGATCAGATTGACGTGGGGTTGGTGACGTTTGCTCAAGTGCAATCAATGGAAAAGTAACTTAAGTCATCATAGCGAAGTAGCATGATGCTAATCTGTCTATTAAAAAGCCATAGCCTGCACAACTTATATTAATTCCCATGTTCCCCAGTCACCGGTGATTTCTGTAATATGCATGTACTTGCGGGCGTCATGGTTCGGTGCATGAATATTAAAATAAATAACTCGCGTGCAATTTAATTAATGTAATGAGGAACTACATTATACGCGGGATCTTTAGGGACATAATCTGAGATTGCAATGCTGTTGTTTTGTATGTTTTTAATACCTCGTCATTTTGTTCATACAGGACATTATTCAAACTGCAATGTGTTAACTTATATTTATTTACACTCGCAATAAAACACAACATTGTGCTTTTGTCAAACAAATTCTTGCGTGTTTTGAGTGAGTTTCTTTCCCGTTTATGCTCGCCAGCCATAATCTCCGTCGTTGTTCGGACAAAAGCTTAGTCTTCTCACATCCATATGGAGTCTAATGACGGGTATAGTGTAAAATCCCGATTTAACTGAACCTCCGGAACGATTTTATCATCCATTGACTCAGCAGGAGATGACCATTTTCACTTTATAGCACGAAACTCATTTCACTTCGTTCAACTCGTATTGCTTCTTCTTATGTTTTGCCCTAAGCAATGGCGCCCGTATGTTGTGACGTCATGTGGGAACTATGTATTGGCACGTAGTGATTCTATACAAAGTGACATCGCCAACTACTGGCCTGGCATGAATAACACAGCATTTCTTGTCATTTCCACAGATCCATGTGAACGGGGCTTGTTTTGCGCAATACACAAGAGATAATGCACATTCATCAGATTGTTATCTCAGAATAAACCCCGACAGGGTGATCATGTCTTTCCATCAGCCTGAAGGAGTTCATTCTGATATAGCTAACAATCGGCTGGATGTACATTATCCCGCTTGTTACACGGCTACTTGCCACATAAGTAAATAATTAGACAAGAAATATAGATCTGAGTCAAAATATTTTATTAACTTATTAAACACATAGCTTCAGTGGAGAGAGCAGTTTCAGTGCAGCAAGTCCAAAGTACACGGACATTTAAGGGATGCGGTGTTTAAGGGATACCACTTATTACATGATATTTCACCACAGAAATAATTATGCTGATAACTATTGATTTGAGATTAAACCGTTTTAAAACCTGTTTTAAAGGGATAGTTCACTTTGAAATTAATTTTTGATATGTTTGATCTTACCTCAAGGGCATCCAAGATGTAGGTGTCTTTGTTTCCACTGTATTTTCAAATTTGACATTTTTCAGTCAAACCGTTGTTGTCTATCAGTCATACACTGGAGCCTAAGGGGGTCCATCAAAAAGCATGCCCAGAGAAGTCAAAATTAAACATGATTTAATGACTCGTAATGCAAGTACACATTGATGGCCTAAGACACGAAACGAGCGGTTTGTGTGAGAAAACGCAAAGTATTTATATCGTTTTTACCTCGTGTAATCACAGTGACGTCCAAGTAATCTGAATCAGTTGTGCAATGTCCAACTGAACCGAACTGAATCAGTTCAATGTTACGCCGGAAGTGATCGCGTGCGTGTGACGTCACTCAATATTTACACGGAGATTTCGGAAGTTTTACCTTTTACTAAACATATTTAGATATACAGAAATCGTCTTCCATTGCGGTTTCCCGTATATCTAAATATGTTTAGTGAAAGGTAAAACTTACGAAATCTGTGTATAAACAAAGAGTGACGTAGGTGTGCAAACGATCACTTCCGGCACATGCGCAGACCGAAGCGCCCGGGGCGTCAGATCATTTTGTCATGGCTATGATTACAAGAGGTAAAAACGATATAAATACTGTTCGTTTTCTCACACAAACCGCTCGTTTCGTGTCTTAGGCCATCAATGTGTACTTACATTTATGAGTCATTAAATCATGTTTAATTTGACTTCTCTGTGCATGCTTTTTGATGGACCCCCTTAGCCTCCAGTGTATGACTGATAGACAACAACGGTTTGACTGAAAAATGTCAAAATTGAAAATACTGTGGAAACAAAGACACTAACATCTTGGATGCCCTTGAGGTAAGCTAAAAGATATCAAAAATTAATTTCAAAGTGAACTATCCCTTTAATCTTATAAGATTTATATAAATAAATAATCCAACAGTGTACAACAATAGTTACAAAACGGCAGCAGCTGCGTTTGTGAACAAGTCCACCATAACAGATGACAATTAGTTTTGAGTTTTAATATTTTATTAGGTCACCAAACGCAAAACTTCCACAAAGGAAAAAAACGTTCCTAAGAAACTAATGAGCTCATGATCTGAATCAGGTGTGTGTGTGAGAGAGAGAGAGAATATATGCGAGTGTCAGTATGTTTGCACGCGTGTAATAGTAGTAAATGTATCATTGTTAAGCCATGGGCATTTAAACCATGGTTTCATGCAGGTATTCCTGGCCATTTTAATGATGACTGACTTTCTGTGTGTGTATTGCTGAAATAACTCACCAGAAATCCCAATCGGCAGGTGTCATATTAAGTAGATCTTTATCATATCCCTTGTGCTCCACAAGATACCCTGCAAAACTCTCATAGATCAGCTGCACACAGACAGAAGGAGAAATATATGTAATTAATTACAGTGACATGAAGATGTCAGGCCTAACCATAACTGAATCATCATCTCGAGCCAGTATAGGTAAACTACACGTCAGATGCGATGCATGAACGTCCTCCTAGAATGACAGATAAAGTAGACAGTCCTCCGTGTGTTTTAACGAGGCCTGCGGACAGATCGATGTTTTAGATCCGACTGTTCCAAACCGAACACACAGCCTGTTTCCGATAACCATGTGTCAGCCATATTCTGCGTGTAAGCTCGGTTGTGTGATGATATGCATGATGATGCCAGCAGCACGACTCACCCTGGAGGTCTCCTTCAGATAGTATCGACAGAGCGTGTGGTCCAAATCAAAGCCGATCACATCACAGTCCGACAGCGAGAAGTATTCGCTCATTGTACAGCCTGTAGAGGGAACGGCTATGAGAACTGTAAGATTACAGAATCGCGATGACTTCCAGCTGTCGATGCAGCTCGCTCGGTGGCGGCAGTCTGCAATGTATTTGTGTGTTCTGCAACACGTGGGACAGCGGCGACAACAGTGTCACAAAAGGCAAGCCGCGTTTAGAAACGGCTCACAGAACGCGTACCGGCATTTATCGCGGAAACACTCCGGTGCCGGTTACAACATTGCATATGAACAACGAATCTTTGTGTATCTTGCTTGCTTACACAAGACACGAACGTATGAATATCTGAATATTCGCGCATTTCCGGGTGTTGTTACCGTAATAACGTGAACAAAATGGAACGTCACTTTTAATTATTGAACATTTGTCAGTTATGCATGGATGAAGCTGTAGATTGTAAAATAAAATAAAAATCATTATTATTTGGAATAAAATGCTGTGGGTTTTCCACTCACTGATTAGAAAAGCAAAGTGTTTTCCAGGTAAACCCTATACCTTATATTATGAGGACAAAATGTCCCCACAAAGATGGCAGCATCAGAAACCCTTGGGGACATTTTTTGGTCCCCATGAGGAAGCAAGCTTATAAATCATACTAAGTGATTTCTTTTGAAAATGTAGAAAGTTTTATGTGATGGGTAGGGTTAGTGTATATGGGATAGAATACAGTTTGAACAGTATAATCACGTCAAGTCACCTTTATTTATATAATGTGATGCCATTGATATGTGCATGGGTTTGTATAGTATTAAGGTATTAAGATCGCATTAAAACATACGGCTGAGGTCAACAGTGATGTCAGGCCTAATAAAATTTAGCGTCATTAAAAAAGATCCCCCTCTGGACATACCAATATTTTACATTTTTGTGATCTACTACAAATGCAAACACTGTAGCACATCTGTTTGAGCTTATACATTCACTAGTTGGTTAAAAGTAATTGCAAGAATGGCTCAGAGAAAGTGTTTTTTTTTTTTCTTTAAGAGCTGTCTAGCGTCATTTTTGCAGATGACACTTTATCCCAATAGCGGCTCTGCAGTCAGACCCTTCTCCTTTATCCAGTGAAATGACATAGCTACATTTTAAGTGTGGGTGAAATATTTAAATTGGATCCCTTCTGAATTTTTACTATAGGATTATACATTTATTTGCCCATTTCAGATGTTCTGAGCTCAGTAGATCACAGCAGAATTGGAGTGCATTATAATCAATGATGTGCTTAACTCTACTTATTATGGCAAGGCTTTTGGAGACTTTGGTTGTTATATGTCTGATGTGGGCATTCCAACTTAGCTTGTTGTCAATCGTTACACCTAAACATTTTATTACCTGAATATTTTCGATGTGTACTCCGTCTATCTCAACCAGTTTCAACGAATCAGCTTGATACTTCCCAAAAAAACATCACTTTGGATTTATCGAGGTTTAAGGATAATTTGTTACTTTCCATCCATTTTTTTAAATTACTTAGTTCTTTTTTTTTATAACACTAATCAGTCGCTCCAAACTATCAGTACTATAAAAATATTTGTATCATCAGCGAACAATACACATTTAACCAATTGAGAAACATTGAAAATATCATTAATATATCAATTAAATAATTTGGGGCCCAATACTGACCCCTGTGGGACACCACAAGCAATGTCAAGACATCCAGAAGAGAGCTCACCCATTTGGACAAACTGCACTCTGTCGCTCAAATAACTTTTCACCCATTTCCCAGCAACCCCATGTATTCCATATCGTTCTAATTTCTTAAGTAATATCTCATTATTAGTGGTATCGAAAGCTTTTTTGAGATCTATAAAAATTCTTCATCGAAGTAGATCTGGTGGGTCTGAAGTTACCCATATTGTCCATCATTAATTAGTTTATGCTTATCTGTAAAAATGTCTAGCCTTTTCTCAAAAAACCTTTTCAAGGATTTTTGAAAACTGGGGAAGGAGAGTAATGGGTCTGTAATTAGTAAAGTGATTCCTATTTCCATTTTTGAACAATGGTATGACCTTAGCAATTTTCATTTTTCTTGGCACACAGCCGTTTTTAAGTGACTGGTTACAGATATGTTTTAGAGGCTTTATGATACTTTTAATTGTCTTTTTTATTAGTACCATATCAATGGAGTGACAGTATGTAGATAACTTGTTTTTGGATTTCTGAACAATTCATTATTTCACACTCACTGACAGGAGAGAGGAAAATAGTACAGTCATTTCTTTCGAAGTTCAGCTCTAGTTCTTGGTTAGGAATTTTGGCTGTTAAATCCAGACCAACCTTTAAAAAAAATTATTGAAATCATTTACTAATTTATTTAAATACTAAAGATAAATGTAATACCTAAATTAAAATAGGTTTTGTTTGTGTGGCTGTGTGTGTTTGACTATATTTTTACTCATTTATTATGTTGGCAAAGTAGGCAAAGTAGATGACTATAAAACATTTCTTGAACTTAGACGTATTGTTAGTTTTTCTTTGCAAGCTGTAGTTTATTTTTGACTTGTGTAAGTAGATCATTTGTGACTCCCAGTGGTGAAAAATGGTATTGCGCTGCTTAATAGAACGCAAGAAGAAGAGACTCATTCCGTGATCTGTTTTGGATGCACACTGTTGTTGATCCTGTCTAATCCTGGAGTAGTTGCGATCGTAAGTTATTCATTTTATATTGAAAATAACTGTAATAGCATGCTGTTGGTTTAACTAAAAGTTAGTTGCTATTAACATGTTTAGAAATTGATGTTTGATACTGAAAGCTAGCGCGAGCTAACTGCTACACATGTAAGGGTCATGAACTGGCTTTTTAAATGTTATTATATTGTTGTCTGAGGTCAACTTATAACGTTCGCTTGGTTTTTTGCATTTAAAAACATCAAAATGAACAAGTAATAGGCTATTTTGTACCCTGGTTGTGAGCCTACCTAAAAACAGTCGGTTTATGGGCGTGTCGCACTGAAGACTTGGAAGTTAAACACCCACTGCTGCGAGTGGGAGAACAGTTTTGCATATTATAATGAGTTTAACTCACCGTCGGTGCACATGGAGGAAAACGTCCAATGTTGTAAAATGGCAACCGGATTCGCCCATACATGTTCAACCCAGAGTCCGTGTGTTGCACAATATTCCTGTCAGATCCAATATAGACGGCACAGCACCGTTCTTTACTCTTAATCGGTCTGCAAATCCAGTCTTGTTGACAAAACAATCCTCAGTGAAATGAAGCGAACAGACGACGATGTTTTACCCTCATCAGCTGAACGTCATTAAAAATAAAGTTTATCCATGCAGTCCTATTGGAATCCACAGGAAGCTTATGCAGCGACTGTCTTGCACAACCAGGCACTGCACAACAATGTTCTGTATTGCTCGTGTAACGAGTATTAATTTGTAACTAGTTTTATTTTATTTTTATTCACACAAAGTCTTATGGTTTCTGTTAGAAATCAATATCCAAATGTGAGAAAAGGAAAATTTATTTATTTTTGTATTTTTATGAGTTTTGTGTTCGTCGCGGTTGTGACGTCATTGTCGCATTGCGCGCGCTCTCGCTTCAGTCCGCGGGAGGTCTGAGCAGAGCGAGGTATGTGTTTCGTGCACTCCTGTTATAAAGTTGGATAAAAGTGAAAAAAGAGTTATTAATTCATTGATCTGTGTTTTGTTGGGACGTAATGAGCATATATGCAGGTTATCTTTTCTTTAAAACGGTTTTATTTGTGAAAGTGAAGTTTTAACCGAGTAAATGCAGTGTGAAGTTGTACGTTAGTGTAAAAGTTGGCCTGTGAAACGTGACTGCTAATTTCTCTCCTGTATTCGGCAGGAGCTGACTTTATTACACAACCTGATTGTATGCAATAATGTAACTGCATTTTCCCAATTTGGTGCTTCACAGGTATGGTTATGCATTTAAATGTGGTTTTGTGATTATTGTTTAAAATTTAATTGTTTCTATGTATAAACCAAATTCTGAAAATGTGGTGTGATTATTTTTGTTATTGTCAATAAGATTGTCTGTAAAGTGTGAACTCGCTTGAGTCCGCGGGAGGTCTGAGCAGAGCAAGGAGCTGACTTTATTACACAACCTGATTGTATGCAACAATTTAACTGCATTTTCCCAACTTGGTGCTTCACAGATAAAAGAATCATTGAATCAGCAATTTCGGCTCCAGTCTTTATTCACCGCCTTCACCACAGACACAACACAACGCTGAACCGGTTACACTCGGTAGCGATCCAGTTTGTCATCACGAGGTAAGCATGTACATGTATGATACTTACCCAGACAGCAAACTGACATTGAAACAACGTTGATTTGCTCATCGAATTAACGTTGAACCAACGTCAGACGCGGCATTCTTCAAAGCTAATGAGAATCGAAAATTGGTTTGCTTTCATAACGTTGAAACAACGCGTTGATTTCAAGTTGATTTTCCGTTAGTTTTGAAAGAATGACGCGTCTGACGTTGGTTCAACGTTAATTCGATGAGCAAAACAATGTCAGATCAACGTTGTTTCGATGTCATATTTCCACGTTGATTCAATGTCAGTTTGCTATCTGGGTAGCTATGTGTGTAATGCGCGAATCGGTGGGCGGGGCTAAACCTGCGTGGTGAAGGCAGGCGTTGATCATCTTCTGGGGGGGTGTGTTTATCCTCTTTGTCGTCATAGTTCCCCACTTTTAAAAACGAGTCGTTTTCAGAGGCTGTTTCAATACAAGCTTTTATTGGACTAACAAGGACGTTTTCAGTTCTGAAACTGACAGATATTCTTATAATATGATGACCTCTTAGATGTCAAAAGATTTAATTTCTCAGTTCATCACCCCTTTAAGATTGTAAGGCATATCCACAAGTTCCGAGGGCGCTCCTGTAAAAAATAAAGTGGGTGAAACTTCCGGTAAGGTGGCGGAAGTAGTAGCATTCCAAGTGGTATTTAGTTTAGCGTGTTAGTTAGCGAAGAGGCTAGCTGTTTTCTGAGAATTATTTTAATGTTAGACGGAAATCTTTATGAGAGATGTCGTTACGGAGCTCAGGGACAACATGTGCTGTTCGCGGTTGTATGTATAACCGGACTAAACTAATTCAGTGGCTTAACGTGATTGTTTTGAACATAAGCCGAAAACCAAATCAGAGTGATCCTGCCAACGACTGTTAGTTTCCATCACCTCCAAAAGACGCTGAATCTTCCTGTGTACATTTGTTTAAATTCTTAATATTCTATAAACTCTCTCAGCATGTGATTGGCTGTTCTCTACTGATGTTACAGCTAAACTCAGGATCAAAGCCTGTGTTGACAGAATACCAAATGTGCCAGTTAATG